CTCGATCTCTTTCATTTCCAGTCTTGTACCTCTACATTTGTGCCACAATGTGTCGTTGACCTCGCTACGGTTCTTTCAGTCTCAGTTACTACTCTGCTAGTCTCTCTGCTTAGGGTCCTTGGTGCGCTTCGCTGTGTAGATTGGCTTGAGAAAGACTAAATCTTGATAGGTCGCAGCGAATTCTACTTGTTAGCTACTAGAAACGATAAGGTGTGGCCTGTGCCTGCGAAGTAGCTCTAACTCTCTTGCGTGTCCTTAATTATTGTGCATCTGGGCTACCCCAGTTTGCTTCTAGTGTTTCCTTAACCAAAATACACATATGAAGTTTTATGCCTGCTATTTATTTTGAATTAGGTGTGATAATCAAAATTATGACAAGATGTGCTTACTCTTTTGTTTGGTAGGAAAGTAATACGTAGGTGAAAATGAGATGAACTCTACTTACAGAATGGTGAGACTCCAGGGATCTGATCCACGTCGCATTTATTTTATAAAGATAAATCCCATATCTGTATCACGGATTTTGCCTTTTTCACGGGTGGCAGGACATACAAGGAAAGTACTGTAGCATACATGTTCATGATTCGACAATTATGTGGTAAGAAAGTACAGAACGATCGGCAGGAACTTTCAGGGTTTTTCCCCTCTGTCTTGGAAATAGAAACCCATAGCATCGCAAGGATTACTTGGTTGCAGCATAGAAACAGAATATGCTGATAGGCTACAGTTTGTTAGGGGGCAAGAGAGAAAAGATGTGGTACAATATAGGCAAAAAAAATCAGTTTTGCTTAAATTTGTTGAGAATTTGCAAATTTCCAGTTTATGGTGGCTACAACATTGGCGCTACTAGTATATCATTTAGAGCACAGAGCTGTTGACTGTTGTACCTTTCACCCGTGGCAGGATATATTTCTCTTAAAGCAAGGTACTGTAGCGTACATGGTCATGATTTTTGAAATGCTGCATCATTCCATGTATACTAGGCCTATTAATGATGTCCCAAGTTTGACCTAGTTTATGGAAAAAGAATCAACACTTACAATACACAATACATAGATTATGGAAATATATTTTGTAGAGAGAATATTTGGTGCAACTCAATTGTATTCCAGGGAGTCGGTCACAATATATACACAGGATGTCTTGCGTGACAAGGAAACTAATCCTACCATATCTCTAGGAGTCAACTATACAAGGCTAGAGAAGATAGGAATAGCAATACAAATATGTCACGTTCAACACACCCCGCAGTCGAAGCGTCGGCGTTGGCGATGCAAAGACTGGAACGGAATTCCTGGAATGCAGCGGTTGGAAGCCCCTTGGTCATAATGTCGGCAAACTGTTGGGTGGTCGGTACATGAAGAACACGAAGCTGACCCAACTGAACCTTCTCGCGAACGAAATGAACATCAAGTTCAATGTGCTTTGTGCGCTTATGCTGCACCGGATTCGCCGTGAGATAGGTGGCCGAAACATTATCACAGAAGACCACCGTAGCTTTCGGGATCGAGACCCGAAGTTCGCCAAATAGTTGACGTAACCAACATGTCTCGGCAACAGCGTTGGCAACGGCACGGTACTCAGCCTCAGCACTCGAGCGGGAGACGGTGGGCTGCCACTTAGAGGACCATGAGATGAGAGAGTCGCCGAAGAAGACACAATATCCCGACGTAGATCGTCGAGTGTCGGGGCAACCGGCCCAATCCGCATCAGTGTAAGCAAAACAACTCGGTGGAGGCTGAGGCGCGAAGACGAAGACCAAATGTCGGTGTGCCGTGAATGTACCGAAGAATGCGCTTGACCAAAGACCAGTGAACATCACGAGGCGAGTGCATGTGCAGGCAAACCAATGATGTCGCGAAGTAAGTTCGCACGAGAGGCGGCCAATGATGTCGCGAAGTAAGTTTGCACGAGAGGCGGTGATGACGATATCGTCAACATATAGAAGAAGCATGGCGACATGATCAGCTCGATGAAGCACAAACAGTGATGTGTTGGAGATGGTGCTGCGAAAACCGAGAGCAGTGAGGAATGCTGCAATGCGTTGATACCACGCATGAGGCGCCTGCTTCAGACCGTAGAGAGACCGTGATAGCAGGCAAACATCGTCAGGCCGAGTGGGATCAACAAAACCAGTAGGCTGCTGACATAGAACACGCTCCTGAAGATGACCATAGAGGAAAGCTTTGTTGATGTCGAGCTGATGAACAGGCCAGTGACGAGATGCGGCAAGCTGAAGAACAACACGAATCGTGGCGGGTTTGACGACCGGGGAGAAGGTCTTCGAGAAGTCGACACTGGCACGTTGTGCAAAACCGCGAACAACCCAGCGGGCCTTGTGCCTGTCCAGAGAGCCATCTGGAAGAAGCTTATGCTGAAAGACCCACTTGCCGGTGATGATGTTGGCGCCAGGGGGGCGAGGGACCAACGTCCAGGTCCGGTTGGCGACGAGAGCATCATATTCAGCACGCATAGCCGCGAGCCAGTGCGGATCGCTCAGTGCAGAACGCATCGAGCGCGGTACTGGAGAGATGTCTGTGACGCTGAGATTGTGATAGCGAGGGTTCGGTTGATGAATCCCGTCTTTAGCACGCGTCACCATACAGTGATGAGGCGGCGGAGGCGGGGGGCGAGCCCGTCGTTGAGGCGGAGGCACAACCACGGAAGAGGGCGAGGGCGTGGCCGCGGAAGAAACCACGGATGAGGCGGCGGTCGAGGCCTCAGGCGAGACCGCAGACGGCGGCGTCAAGACCGTGGGCGAGGCCGCGGGTGGCGAAGAGACGTCCGCGGAGGAGACTGCGGGTGACGGCGACATGACCGCGGGCGAGGCCGCGGGTGGTGGAGATGAGACCGAGGCCGAGGCTGACGAGTCGGCAGGGGAGGCCACAAGCGATGTGGGGGTGGGCAAGGCCGCAACCAACGTGGGCGAAGCGGTAGAGGGCCCGGCCGAGACAACTCCTGAGCCAGGCCAGCGAGGGCTGGTGCCGAAGCCCGGAGGAGCGAGGCCAGCTCCGCCTGAGCCGACCAGGCCAGCTGGAGCGGGCGCCGAAGCCTGGAGGGGTGAGGCCGGCTCCGCCTGAGCCGGCAAGGGAGGCCCCGCCGAAGGACCCGTCAGAGATGCACGGGGTCGTGGCGGAGGAAGCGCAAGGGCTCCACGAGGCCGTCGAGGGAGATCATCCGAAGACGGGGCTGTTGGCGGTGTAACCTGCTCGAAGGGAAAAACAACCTCATCAAAGTAAACGTGCCGCGAGACGAACACACGACGAGAGACCACTTGACGATGCAGCGTCCACAGCAAGCCACTCGTCGTCGTCCTTCATGTCGCGGAAGTCGACGCTCCCGTCAACATGCTCGATGAGACGGTAAGAGCGGAACAGCTGCACGAAGTAGGTGCGCCATGCGTTGTAGGATGGCGAGTCGGGGTCGAGGATGACGGGTACGTGGTCTTTGATGTGAAGCTCATTGAGGCGGTCGGAGGTGAACATGGCACCGGCGAAAGAACCGGCGTCGGATGGGTCGGCCTTGGCCATGGTGGCGTCGGGTGGTTAGCGTTTAGGTGGTGTTGGAGGAGGGAAGAGTCGGCGGCGGCTGTGGGTGTTGGGAAGGAGGCGGCGGCGGCTACAGGAGGGTAGCGGCGGTGGCTTTAGGGTTTGGGGGAGAAGATGGCGGCGGCTGTGGGAAGAAGGGAAGCAGCGGCGGCGTAGGGTTTTGGGGAGGAGGGAGGCGGCGGCGGCGGCTACGGGAGAGGTAGCGGCGGCGGCAGCTGTAGGGTTTGGAGTTGGCGGCAGCGGCGGCTACGGGAGGGTGCGGCAGCTGCGGGTTGCGGAAGCGAGAGAAGATCTCGGTAAACTGATACCATGTAGAGAGAATATTTGGTGCAACTCAATTGTATTCCAGGGAGTCGGTCACATTATATACACAGGATATCTTGCGTGACAAGGAAACTAATCCTACCATATCTCTAGGAGTCAACTATACAAGGCTAGAGAAGATAGGAATAGCAATACAAATATGTCACGTTCAACATATTTCTTGATAGATCAAGTGATTTTCATTTTATGGTTTAGATGTTGATATTTGTTTCTATAAGCTTGGTCAAACTTAGAAATGTTTTGACTTGAGACAGGATTAATTGGTATAAGTGGAAGGAGGGAGTATGTGGTAAGAAAGCGCAAAACAGTCGGTAGCAACCTTCAGGGTAATTTATGCCAGCTACAACATTGCCAATAAGCACAGTGCTGTTGTTACCTTCTTTAGCTGTGGCAGGATATATTTTCTCTTAAAAGTAATGAACGTACTGTAGCATACACACTGAAAAAAATAGTACACTATGGCTTGCTAGGAATGGCTCGCTAAATAAATCAGTGTACAATGTCTCGCTAATAGCATATGCTATAGCGCGGTTAAGCATGCTAATAGTGGATTTTAAGGCCGGCGCTATTTTGCTATAGCATGCTATTTTTTTCACTGCGCATATATGATCACGATTTGAAAAATACTCCTTCCATGTATACAATGCGTATTTCGTTTGAAAAGATTATCTACATCTACAATACACAATACATACATTATGGAAACATATTTCATCATAGATGTAGTTATATTAATTTTGTATTCTAGATATTGATATTTGTTTCTATAAACTTGGTCAATCTTAAAATGTTTGACTTAAGACAAGATTAAATGAGGGATGTAGTATGTGGTAAGAAAGTGCAAAACAAATTATTTTTGTTTCGATCAAAACACAGAAACAATTGGTAGCAACCTTCAGGTGTTTTCCCTTCTATTTTCGAAACAGAAACCCATAGCTTTGCAAGGATTACTGTGGTTGCAGCAGAGAAACATAATGCATTGGTAGGCTGCAGTTTGTTTTGGTTACAAGAGAGAAAATATGTGGTAAAGGAGGCGAAAATAAAATTGAGTTTTGGCTAAGTCTATTGAGAACTTGCACATTTCCAGTTTATGGCCACTATGCTACAACATTGCCACTACTACATCATTATTTAGTGCTGTTGCTACTGTTCAGTTGGCTCATGCCTGTGAAGGCCCACTGATAACCAAATGCCGCTCCTAAGGCAAGTATTAGTTGAGCTTGTTATGTGATACATACATACTAATTTTCTGTTGAAGGTATTTTTGTCATTGCACTCCATCATTTTCTCTTTTATGTGCCTGGTCACGACTTCACTTAATAATTCAAGGACCTAGTTTATACCAAGGCGCGCTAAAGAACTTACCGTAGTCAATCCATGTAGGTATGCCTTCTGCGTTATGATTGAAACTGATGTACGGTATGGTTTACTATTGTTTTATCTGATGTTTACCCACATCTTTCAGTAAGTTGACATCCTTGTAACATGCAGTTTATGTATTTGCAAAGACCTACAAACGAGACCAGGACAAGAAAAATGCTGAGACCGCAGCAGCAGCAGCAGCTGCAGCAGCATTGTCAGCCCCACCTGCTGCAGTTGCTAAGCATGCAGAGCCTGCTCCTCCGCCGAAAAGAGTACTCCCACCTTTATCCGAAGATGAGCAGCGCAAGGTCTACAAGTGGATGCTGGAAGAGAAGCGGAAGAGCAAACCACGTGACGCTGCTGAGAAGAGCAAAATCAATGAGGAGAAGGCTCTTCTCAAGGAGATCATCAGGGCAGAGTCTCTCCCTCGTTTGTGGTGATTTCATCAGTTCTCCTGCTGGCCTTGGATGTCTTTTCTCCCCCTGCAATTCCAGCAAGGGTATATTTTATTGTCAATCTAGCGCTGTTAGCTGGCACAAATAGTATGGCTTGGCGTGATGATACGTCGACATTTCGTAGCCAATTTTTTTGAGTAACTCCAGTCTCTAGGAAACGGTTGCCTTTTAGATGCAAAATTATGATGGAGTCTATTCTGGAGATATTCTCGCGCACACTAAATGATTGCTCCAAAACCAAGGGGCTGTTTTGTTCGCGTAGCCTGTCTGGAGATGTGCTGAGCTTCAGTGCCATAACTGCACCTGCAGTTGGGCCAGTGACATGTGGGCCTAACAGATGGCTGGCCCACATGCCATTGACCCAACTGCAGGTGCAGTTACGGCACCGAAGCAGCGTCCGTTTTTTGGTATCTAAGACTCACCTTCAGCCTTCAAGCCTCTGGATTTTGTTGCAATAATCAACGTTTATAGTACGATGACCCGTTGAGCATGCATTGAGCTCCTTTTACCTTGTGTACAAAGTTCATTAAACGTGCAGCTCATGGATAAAAAAAATGAGCGTTATTTTTTGTTGAACCGGTATGGGCCCTAGCCCATCAAGATCTGTCTCTTGGGCCCAAGCCCATGAGAGGTGCTGACCTAGAAGAGGAGCCCCTCTTCCCCCTGTCCCGTGCAAGCCGCCACAGACACCAAACCCACGCGAGCGACCATACACGAGAGTGAACCCTGTCTAAAGGTACCCCCCATGATTCAACATGGTATCAGATGCCGGTGACGGAGGGGCCTGAGGGCTGACGGGAAGGGGGCAGGCCACGACGGCAGAGGTGCGCTGGAGAGGACCAGCGGGGCTGCTGGCGGAGGTGCGCGCGGCGGCGCTGCCTTCTTTCGAGGAGAGGCGGCTGTGCGCGTGCTGCGAGCGCGCGACGCAAGGCATGTCAGGGCTGCTGCTGACGGTGCAGGGCCAATGGCTGGCGGAGGTGTTGGCGGGAAGAAGAGGAGGAGGAAGAAGGTGGCGGCGGATTTGGGCTGCGTGCGAGTCAGGCTGAGGCGGGGAGCTGCTGCTGAACAGAGGAGGAAACTGCAGCAGCTGCTGCTGCCTTGTGCTGTACCTGGAAGCTTGTTGAGCTGCTGGTGCTTGTGCGACTGCTTCTTGGTGCTGCGGTAGAGGAAGAAAGAGGGGTTGCCTGCTGGACTGCTCGTTCTGGAACGGGAAGAGCCTCGGCTGGACCGCTTGTGTGCTTTACAAAGATTTTTTTTCTCTATGGACTTGCTGTTGTGAGCTTGGTGTTGTGGTGGTGGTGGTGGTGCTCCTTGGAAAGAAGACTCTCTGAGGCTGAGTTTTGTTGATGCTGCTTATCCCGCCAAACGATGGCTGAACCAACTGGTCTTGCCGAGGCTTTGGAGAAGCTCGCTAAGATCCTCGCGGAGTCGAACTCTGGGGCCATCGTTCCTCGACAGGAAGTGGCTCACAAGCTTGAAATGTCGCCCCTGGACATGAAGCTAGAGGGGGCAACAAATTATTTGAGCTGGTCCAGGAGGGCTTTGTGGGCTGTGGAGCAGAAGGAGCTTGATGGATATTTGTTGGGCACCGTCGTAGAACCAAGGGACAAGAGTAGTGCAGAGGGCAAGAGGTGGAAGGTCATCCACTCTGTACTTATGGTGTGGTTGTTGAACTCCGTGGTGCCCTCCATTCGACGCTCTGTGGAGTGGCTATCCTCACCTGCTGAGATATGGAAGATTCTGTCCACTCAATACTCTGGCAAGGGCAATGTCATGCTCATTGCTCAGATTGAGGACAAGATTAGGTTGCTGCGCCAAGATGATGGCATGTCAGTGATGACATACGTGGCAAAACTGCAGGCTCTGTGGGCTGACCAGGATAACTGCGATCCCCTGGAACTCTATGATGCGGCTTCAATTGAGTCAGGGCATAAGTGGATGGCACGCAGGCGTGTGCTAAATTTTTTGACTGGCCTCAAAGGTTGCTTTGATGGCAGGAAGGCTTCCATGTTGCACTAACCTAGTCTGCCTACCATTACTGAAGCTATTGCAGTGATGACTCAAGAGGAGGTGTGCCTATCCCTTTGAGCATGCAGACATGAAGGTTGTGCAAGCTTCGACATTTGCAGTCACTGAGCGCATGGAGTGGGGAGATCCCACCAAATGTCATATCTGTGGGGAGGTAGGTCACTGGAAGAGAGAATGTCCAACTCGTGGCAGAGGCAGGGGATATAACAGAGGGGGACCAAGCAGAGGTAGAAGTGCTAGAGGCAGAGGTGGATACTCAGAGACCTCATAGGGCCAGGCTTCTAGAGGTAGAGGTGGCTACTCAGGACACTCAGGGGGTCAGAGGGCTCACATGGCCGTTGCAGGAGACACTGGGACGTCCAAAGGCAAAGATGTAGATGATGTTGTCTATGGAGACTTTGCTCATTGGGCCTCCACTGATGAAGGTAATCCGGAAAGAGCATCTCTTGCTACTAATGAGAGTGCTCCAGAGTGGGTTCTTGACTCTGGAGCATCTAAGCATGTTGCTAGTAACTCCTGTGTGTTCGAGTCTTACACTAAGCATCCTCCCTCTCACATGGGCACTATACAAACGGCTGATGGCACAAAACAACCAGTCATAGGGGTTGGTACAGTAAAGTGTACTCCGACCATTTCCCTATCATGTGCCACCTTTCCTATCAATTTGGTCTCTTTCAGTGCACTCATTGATCAAATGGACTGTCGTGTGATCCTTAACAAGTTCGATTGCTTGATACAGGTGTGACAGACGAGCCAGACGGTTGGGACTGGCACCAGGTGTAGGGGGCTCTGGTACATGGACCAGGAGGTGCAGACGGACTTGGTGTGTGCTGCGACCATGGAGGATAAGGAGAAGCAGGCGATGATCCATCACTGTAGGATGGGGCATGTATCTTTTGATAAGATGAGTAGAATATTTCCGGATGTTATGTGTGGAATAGGCAAAGGCAAGCTGACATGTGATGCTTGTGAATATGCAAAACACACACGGGCCTCATATGTGAGTAAGGGGCTCAGGAGCATATCTCCTTTTATGCTTATTCATTCGGATGTATGGACTAGCCCAGTGGTGTCAATGAATGGGAAGAAGTATTTTGCTACCTTTATTGACTGCTATTCTCGCATGACTTGGATTTACTTGATGCGTCACAAGGATGAGGTGTTTAGCTGTTTTCAGAACTTCCATGCTCTTGTAAAGAACCAGTTTCACGTACAGGTCAAGGTGCTCAGGACGGACAATGGAACGGAGTATGTGAACAACATTTTTGGGGCTTTCATGGCTGACCATGGGATTCTTCATCAAGCTTCATGTCCGGACACCCCCCTTAGAATGGAGTGGCCGAACGGAAGAATCGTCATGTTCTTGAGGTTGATCGGTCGTTGGTGTTTACCATGAATGTGCCTAAGTTCTTGTGGGATGATGCAGTTATGACAGCCACATACTTGATCAACCGAACACCTTCCAGGATACTTGGCATGAAATCTCCGTCTGAGTTGATCATTGGAGATAATAAGTTTGTTGTTCCCCCAAAGTTGTTTGGCAGTACCTGCTTTGTTCGTGATCACCGACCATCTGTTGGCAAGCTTGATCCTCGGGCAGTGAAGTGTGTCTTTCTGGGATACTCGTCTAGTCAGCAGGGGTATAAATGTTGGTGTCCCTCTGAAAAACGCAGGTTTGTAAGTATGGACGTTACATTCAGGGAGTCTGAGCCATTCTATGGTGACCCGACTGATCTCAGTCTGCTGTTTGCAGAGCTTGACAACCTACACCCTGTGCATGATGGTCAAGAGGGGGAGAATGATGTGTCTCATACTCACGGTGATTCTGTGGACATTGACACTGATAATGATGTGTAGGCTCAGGTTCAACCAATAGTGGGTACAATTCCGGTTAGTACCATCACTGATGATGATGTGCGGGCTCATGTCGAGCCAACTGTCGATACACTTAAGATTGGTGCTCTCCAGGTTCCTGTTCAGGATCGATGGCAGACAATACCCTGGTGTACTCTCGGCGGCAACCACAAGTGCAGGGGGAGCAGCAAGGCAGGGAGGCGAGAGTGCAAGGGGAGCAGCAAGGCAGTGAGGCAAGAGTGCATGGGGAGCAGCAAGGAGGCAAGATCATCTGACACAGTGGAGCTGCTCATTGCATTGCGAAAACCTACACGTGAAGGGACAAGGAAGGGTGAGGTAGCAAGGAAGGCTCTGCCAAAGGATGATGCTTGTGATGTCCTTGATATTGGCAATTTTGTGTCTTACAAGGCTTTATCACCTTCATATAAGGTGTTTGTTGCCTCTCTGCAAACTGTGTCTATCGCTAAGGATTGGAAGGCTGCAAAGCAAGATCCGAAGTGGCGTGAATCGATGATACAGGAGTTAGAAGCATTAAAAAAACAAGACATGGGTGCTAACCACATTGCGGGCAGGAAAGAAAGTAGTCAGTTGTAAGTGGATTTTTACCGTGAAGCAGAATCCCGAGGGCAAGGTGGAACGGTATAAGGCTAGATTGGTCGCCAGAGGATATAGTCAAACTTATGGAATTCACTATGATGAGACATTTGCTCCAGTTGCAAAGATGAACACGGTACGGGTATTGGTTTCGTGTGCTGCAAACTTTGGGTGGAAATTGCACCAGTTAGATGTCAAGAATGCCTTCTTACATGGTGACTTGAAAGAATAGGTATACATGGAGATACCGCCAGGTTTTGGCACAGAACAGACTATGGGGAAGGTATGCAGGCTGAAGAAATCCTTATATGGTCTGAAGCAATCGCCGAGGGCATGGTTTGATAGGTTCAGACGAGCTGTTTGGTATATGGGGTATGGCCAATGTAATGGTGATCACACGGCGTTCTATAGACACACTAATAAGAAGATCACCATTGTTGCAGTGTATGTTGATGATATCATCATCACCGGAGATGATGATGAGGAAATAAAGAGAGTGAAGGGGTGTC